GGCTCAGTCGGTTAAGCGGCCGACTTCAGCCAGGTCACGATCTCGCGGTCCGTGAGTTCGAGCCCTGCGTCGGGCGCTGTGCTGACTGCTCAGAGCCTGGAACCTGTTTCAGATTCTGTCTCCCTCTCTCTCTGACCCTCTCCCGTTCATGCTCTGTCTCTCTCTGTCTCCAAAATAAATAAATGTTAAAAAAAAAAAAGATAGAGTTTGTTGGCTTTGTATTTGCCTGTGGAAGTTCTGACTTTTGAAGACCTGTTCTAAATTGCTGTTGGCTGGAGACGCCTGGGTGGCTCAGTCGGTTAAGCGTCCAACTTCGGCTTGGGTCATGATCTCACTGCTCATGAGTTCGAGTCCCGTGTCGGTCTCTGTGTTGACAGCTTGGAGCCCGGAGCCTGATTCACATTCTGTCTCTGGCCCTCTGTTCCTCCCCTGCTTGCGCTCTCTTTCTCTCTGTTTCTCAAATATAAGATAAAACATAAAATTAAAAAAAATAAATTGTTCTTGGCTATGCATAGGTTTTGACTGAATTTCTTAGTATGACTTGAAGCTCACCCCACGTTTTGTGAAATATAAAAGCTGGCTCTTTGAGCTTCAAGATTTTGTGACATGGGAAATTCTCTGGGTTCAGGTTGTTTTGCTTCTACCTTTAACATGGTGCTATGGCCAAGATGGAGGTATACCTTCTTCATTGTAGATATCTGATGCTCTTACAGCAACTTGTTTCTTTGAGAGATAGTAGAGGAGAGTGGGGACAGGATCCTTTTCTATTTTTCTATCTTCCCCTGTTCTAGGTCCCAAGTTGTCTTTTTGGAAATATGATTCCCTTGAACAAAAGAGGGTAGGAATTACCAGAGCCTAATTTCACTTAGGGAAATATGTGGGTCTCTGAAGGGGAAGGGTATCAACTGTCTTCAAACACTTTATCTGTACCTCACTCATGATACTTGGTATTTTCTCCAGTGTTGTATAGTTATTTTTGTTCTCATTTTATCTTTTCATCTTGATCAGTGTTTTCTATCGGTGCAGAACATTTGCTGCATTGATGGAAATGTATATTTTCATTTTCCAAATCAGTACTCATTAGCTACATGTAGCTTTTGAATACTTTAAATGGGCTAATATGATGTGAGAACTGAATTTTTAATTTATTTAACTTTAATAGTTAATTAAACATTTTTAATTTGAATATAGTGGACACAAACTACGTTAGCTTTAGGTGTACAGCATAGTGATTCAACTTCTCTGTGCATTATGCTGCACTTACCACCAATGTAGCTACCATCTGTCACCCTACAGCACTTTTACGATAACATTGACTGTATTCCCTAGGCTGTACCTTTCATCCCTGTGGCTTATTCATCCCACAACTGCAGACCTGTATCTCCCTCTCGCCTTCACCCATTTTGCCTGTTCTCATCCCTCTTCCCTCTGGCAACCAGCAGTTTGCTCTTTGTATTAATACCTCTGGTTCTGCTCTTTGTTTATTCATTTGTTTTTTTTGTTTTTTTGTTTTTTTTAGATTCCATATATGAGTGAAACCATATGGTATTTATCTTCCTCAGTCTGACTTATTCCACTTGGCATTATATCCTCTAGGTCCATCCATGTTGTCACAAGTGGCATGATCTCATCCTTTCTTGTGGTTGTGTAATATTCCACTGTTGTGTGTGTGTGTATACATACACACCACATCTTCTTTATTCATTCATTTATGCATGGGCATTTGGGTTGCTTCCATATCTTAGCTATTGTAAATAATGCTGCAATAGACATAGGGTGCATAGCTTTAATTAATTTAAGTTTAAATAGCCACAGGTGGCTAATGGCTACCATGTTGGACAGTACAAATTGACTTAAGGATGTAGTGTGTCTTTGATTTACTTCTTCCTGTGTTTTTGGAGTATACTAATTTACTTATCTGATGTTTGGTGAAACTGGTATGTTTGTTAACTGTGTTGCTTCCAAAATGACATGTGGTTGAGTTGGCTGTGCAATTAGAAACTCTACAACTTTGAGTTTGAGATTGAAGTTGGCTTCCAATGGTTAGCACAAAAATGGAATTAGATGCCTTGAATTCCTTGTGCTTTCCTGAAATTTGTTCAAAGTGAATCTAAAATGCTGATAAAACCATAATTAAAAATTCTAGATTTACCTTAACATTTTGCAAGTGTCAACAGTCATGTTTGAGTAGGGGAAAAACAGATTAGTTAAGAGCGTTGCTTCCAATTACTTAAGGACAAGGAAATCTGTGTTAGAATTAGGACTACCTTAATCATGCTGGTAGGTGCTTATTTTATATTCTTTTCATTTTGATTCTTTTGAATGGATTCTTGTTCACCATCCAAGACTGGTCTGTAATCAGGTATAATAAGCACAGTTCATTTTGGATTCATGTGTATTTTGTTTATACTTACAACACAGCATCACACTGGGGACTTTAGAAATAAATATCTTTTTATTTTTTATTTTATTTTTTTTAAGTTTACTTATTTTTGAGAGAGAGAGAGAGAGAGAGAGAGAGAAAGTACGTGCACAAACTGAGGAGGGGCAGAGAAAGAGGGAGACATTAGACTCCGAAGCAGGCTCCAGGCTCTGAGCTATCAGCACAGAACCTGACGTGGGGCTTGAAATCACAAGCTATGAGATCATGACCTGAGCCGAAGTCAGATGCCTGACTGAGCCACCCCGGAGCCCCAATAAATATCCTTTTGTTTCCAATCATTGCACGTTTTCCGTTTTGGCAACCCTGTGTTTTTACTCTCGTGAAGCCTGTGTATAGGGACAGGAAAATTTGGTGTTACCTGGAATATAAAGTTCCAAAATATTACACACTTGCTTAATGTAGATAAAATATACAAGTTTAGTATTCTTATGTAAGGCAAGTGGCTCCTGGCAGATTTGATGCAGTGCAATGACATATCTATGATACTGTAGTTTAGGTAGCAGAAAAAAATTCAATGACTCCCTCAAAAGAAAGGTCTTTTGGGGATGGGTTTTTTTTGAGACTTGTTGATATTTAGAAAATTTATGGTCCAGGCTAAATTGAATTTGAGCATTAATGAGCAAAAATTCATAATGAGAACTCATTCATTGAAGTTTTAATGTTATGAGCAGGATACTCTTCTAAGCTTGTAAGGTATAACATACAATACTTGTGTGAGAGGCTTACTCTGTAGTTGGGCAGGTAGGATCTACACTTAAAGATAATTCACAGCATGTGATAGTGTCTCAGATAGTAAGTTTGGGGAACTTTGAGAGGAGGCTAGTGTTTCCTAAGGGTGACTGGAAAAGTGGGATTTGAACTGGGATTTTGAGGAAGCTAGAGAGGAACAGAAAGAGAAATAGGAGGGCACTCCAGGCAAGGAGATCAATGTGAGCAGAGGCTTGGATTAAGAATTTGCACGGAGTATTTGGGAATAAGGAACGGATGCGTTTGTTGAAATGCAGATTCCATATGGGACCCATTAGGGGATAAGGTCGTCTTGGAAGCTAGGGACATGAAATGTAGGGCTTTGATTGCTGGGCTGTGGAATTATTCTGAGGGGAGTAAGGAGCCATTACACACCTTTGAATGGTGGGAAGATATGTGAGAAGCGAATATTGTGAAGATTAATCTCTGGAGTGGAATACAGGATGATTGGGCAGGGGAGAGGGAATTTAAACAGTGAGGATGTGAAATGAAGAGCCCCTGCACTTTTGTTGCTAATGTAGGACTAGAAAAGCAAGGGATGACTCAGAGGAGTAGCCTTTCTGATAAATGAGAATGAAATTGATATTTATTTGTTGCCCTTTTGTGATTGAAAGTTTTCATGCCCAAGTAACTGGGAGAAGCGAGAAGTGTTTTTAGTCTGGTGGGCTGATTTGAAGGAAATATGGGTTGATTTTATTTATTTATTAAGAAAACATTTTTTTTCTTAAAGAAAAAAAAATTTAATGTTTATTTAGTTTTGAGAGAGAGAGTGAGACAGAGCATGAGCAGGGGAGGGCCAGAGAGAGAGGGAGACACAGAATCAGAAGCAGGCTCCATCCAGGCTCTGAGCTGTCAGCACAGAGCCCGACATGGGGCTCAAACCACGAACCATGAGATCACGACCTGAGCCAAAGTCAGATGCTTAACCGACTGAGCCACCCAGTCGCCCCGAGAAAACATTTTTTTTAATGTTTATTTATTTTTGAGGGAGACAGGGCAAGTTCAGAGGAGGGGCAGAGAATGCTAAGCAGGCTCTGTGCTGATGGCAGAGAGCCCAATGCAGGTCCCGAACTCATGAACTGTGAGATCATGACCTGAGCCAAAGTAGGATGCTTAACTGACCCACCCAGGCTCCCTGAGATGGGTTGAGTTTTAGATGTTCTAAGTTCCAGGTGATGGAAGGACCTGTAGATGTAGGTTTGGAGGTGGTTGGAGATGAAAAGATTGATCCTGGGTCTCACTTGTAGGAGCCATCGCTCTTCTGTAGGGTCATCAGTGAAATTCATGATAGTGGGTAAGAGAGATCTGCAGACCGCTGACTGTATCCTGGAGATGTCTGCAGAGAGGGAGATGGGCCAGTGTGTCATATAATGTGGAATGCTCAAGGAGAAGAAAACTGCAAGAAGACCACTAGGTTTAAGATACTTGAGAACCGAGAGCAAAGTTTGAGTGGAGTAGTTAGAATTGGTGACTAAGTAGGTGATAAATCCAACTCAGAAGTGAATGCACATGTTATGTTCATCTTGCTTCTTTTGTGGCCTGCTTTTTAATCATTTTACTGAGTGTCCTGGCAGGGAGATAAAACAAGGTGGATAGTTTTATATCCATCTCTTAATAGTTCCTTATTAAGAGACTAGTTACGGTAATTGGGTGAAATCATTAGTTATTTGGAGTATATGAATCAGTTATATAATGACCCATATTCCTGAAGATAACTGAAATTTGCAATTTTAGTGAAAATAAAAATGAGCATTGATGTTCCTGAAAATTATATTTCTACTAAATACTGCTTTTTTTTTTTAAATCCCAGTTTTTATGCCGATTTTGGACCTCTGAACTTGGCAATGGTGTACAGATACTGCTGTAAACTAAACAAGAAACTGAAAGTGAGTACTATGGTGATGTTTATATTTTGTTATTGGAAATTTTAACTTTGAAATCTGATCACTGGGACTGCCGTGCACACACCATTTAGTTAGGTAATCTTGATCTTTGGATATTTATTTGAGTAGTTTACTCTCATATAAATGAGAAGTTGAAACTGATCCACCTGATTACCCCATAAAGGACATGTTAACCTCTTCCATTTTTCAGGATGAATTGAAATGTGAGCTGAATGAAGTCATTGGAATAGCGATCTAAGAAAGAAAGCACAAATACCTTTCAGGTTGCTGTTTAATGAGTCTATCAAATTACTCCCTAGGATGGTTTTTCTGAAACCAGGTGATGAAGGCACTCATCACGGCATCGCAGTAGCTCTCAAGCTTTTCCTGTCTGATCAAGATTGAAATTTTTATGTATTTCTTGGAGGTCATCTTTGTAGAGTTAGCAGCCAAGTGGGATGGATGAGCTAGTAGTGATACAACAGGGACTTTACCTGTTGTGACAGAATTTGGATCATACATTCAGTATTCATCTGTATTTTTGATTTACATGTTTTTTTTTTCCTCTTAGACTCTAAACATACATGAGGGAAAGCATTACATGTAATCCTGGTTTTGGTAAATTTATTTCATCACATAGAGATATTTATCTTTGTCTTCCAGTGTTCAAAATGAGGATCTTAAATGTAACGTTTCAGTTTGGAAGGTCAAATACTACACAGCATGCTGTTAAAGATAACCACGAAATTATAATGCTCAGGTGGCTTATTCTTTCTGCTAGTTACAGTGTAACTGGTGTGACGATGTACAGTACTTTGTACATATTAGCTGTTTAGTGATCTTTTGATTTGATTGATTTTTATTGAACTTAGGGATAAAAGACTGTCTGTAGTGGAGAATTTCCTATAAAATATGTTGTATATTTATGAATTCATAGATTTTTGTCATTGATCTGAAAATGCTAAATGGTCATGGGATGAATACCAAAGAGAGATTTTTATTTTAGTCAATAATCATATAACATAAGGTCTGTTGCAATCAACTGTTTAAAGAATTAATTTGTAAAGTATTATCTGACTTGAAAAGGTGTATGTAAATTCCTTTAACTAAACTGGTCTACATTTTTCATAAAAGAAGCTACTGCCTATAGTTTAGAAAATAAAGTGGAAACTTTTGTAATCACCAGGGAAGCAAATAATATCCTAAAAAGGATTTAATATAAAAACATAAAGTGGACTTTTAGTGGATGATTAACAAGGAAAGGATAATCCATAAATAATTGAAGGCTATTACTTCCTTTTGAGGACCTAGGAATTTTTTTTTTTGCTTTCTTGATTAGTCCTGTTAGTATGTAGTTGGTATGAACTGGGTATTATAATTAACAATTCAGGACCTGACCATTACTTGGAAGATCGAAGAGAAAAGAATCATTATTTCAAAAATAATTTTTTTGGTCTGACTCTGTCTTCTGCTTATATCAGTTACATAAAAGTAGATGGCTTGAGTAAGGCTATTTTTCTACCATATTTTACACCAAACTGTATAGGTAAGTGTATACATGGACTTGTTTTGATTTGTTTTCATTTACAAAGCTTTCTTTCAACATTATGCAAGTTTAATAGAGTTCAGCATCCCTTGGTTCATTTCAGGGATCAGGTAATCTGATGGATGCCTGGAAGGATATTTTTTTGCTTTAGTACTGCTAGTAGATACCCTGTACTTGCTGAAGGAATGAATTTTCAAAACCCAGATGTTGATAAGTCATGCGTTATCTCAAAGCATCCGAGTAGAATCTCTACATTGGGAGAAATGACTTGACTACCAATTTGAAGCTGCAATTGCTTCAACCTTGTGTAATCTCAGTTTCTTTAGCTATAAGATAGGGATTATAGAGCTTTCACAGAGGGGTGGTTAGGAGTATATTGCAAAAGGCTTTGCAAATTTTAACGTCTTCTACAGAAGAAGGTTACTAATGGAACATTGATGACTTTGAATAGGAAATAACAATAACATTTCTTCAACCAAGGTTATGAACACCTTCCCAGTCTCCTGGCTGTCATTTCCATATGCAAAAGCTGTTTGATATAATTTTAGGGATCCAAATGACAATTTAGTCTAGCCAGTTCATTTTATGGGTGCAGAAAGGAAGGCCCAGGAGAAGCAGGTGACTTGTCCAAGGCTACAAGGTAAAGTGGGGGCTAGATTTCAAGGCTTGTGACTTATTCATGCTCCTCTCCACCTTCATCACTGGAGGAGCCTCTGTGGTTTATAATCTTCATGCGCTCACCCACAGCACTGCCCCAGCTGACTTTGCCCTGAAAACATGTCCATAGTGGCCTTGAGGCTCCTCTGCTTCGTTTGCTCCAGTGACTGTTACTGCCACTCCAACGACGTTTCTTCCAGGAACTCAGACTCCAGGCTTTCCTGCTTTAAATGTACCCTTCTTGTTGCATACCTCCCACATTCTGTCTCTCTCACCTTCGTGTAATCTCCAGGCCCTCAGGCTCCCTATTTTCTCAGTCCATCGGATCCCTGTTGGTGTTTCTCGTCTGCAGCCCGTGTTCACCCATTTTGGTAAGACCTTTGGGCACCTTGCTTCCATGCCTTTTGTCTTGCTTGGCCTCACAGCTCCCACCCTTGGTGTCTTTCCCAGTGGATGATTTCATGCGCTAACTTACTGATTTACTCAAGATTGCGGTACTCTGGCCACTGCTGGCTGTGTGCTTTACCCTGAACCACACCAGTTGCCCCACACAATGGCTTGTGACGTCCAGTCTGACTTGAATGTCCTTTTCCCCTGGTTTGATCACTCCTTGTTCTTTATGACCTTGTTCAGACACCGTGGCTTCTAGGAAGCATCTCCTTGTCCTTCTGAACAAGGTTGGAGTTGCCTCCTGTTTGGAGATCTTTATTATTGATGAATAATTCCCTGTTTACATTGCTCTCTTTCACTAGACTATACCCTCCTAGCAGATGGAGACATGTCATAGAATTCAGTGTCTCCAGTGCCCAGCACAGGGTCACCAGACACACAAACTTCTGTTGACCTTATCACGATCCCCTTGACTTACAGGTCCTCTTTTATCTTTTTGTCTCTGGAGGTTTCAGAATATTCTGCCCTCACTATTTTCATCCTCACTACGCACTGATTTCTTAATCCTTGGCTGTCTCACTTTTGCTTTCCTTACCCTGCTGAAACTGCTCTAGAGACATCTTAAAGACCAGATATGATGGTATTTACTTGGTCCTCAAACCCTACTTCTCTGAATAATTTGGCACTATTTTTTTTTTTTTTACAGTGAGAAAATTTTTTTATTTTTTAATTTTTATTTTATTTTTTATTTTTTTAATATATGAAATTTATTGTCAAATTGGTTTCCATACAACACCCAGTGCTCATCCCAGAAGATGCCCTCTTCAATGCCCATCACCTACCCTCCCCTCCCTGCCACCCCCCATCAACACTCAGTTTGTTATCAATTTTTAAGAGTCTCTTATGCTTTGGCTCTCTCCCACTCGAACCTCTTTTTTTCTTTTTTCCCTTCCCTTCCCCCATGGGTTTCTGTTAAGTTTCTCAGGATCCACATAAGAGTGAAAACATATGGTATCTGTCTTTCTCTGTATGGCTTATTTCACTTAGCATCACACTCTCCAGTTCCATCCACGTTGCTACAAAGGGCCATATTTCATTCTTTCTCATTAATTTGGCACTATTTTAACTGATAACAGCTTCTTAGACTACTGTTCATGTGTGGTTTCCTAGCTTTTTTAGGCAACATGTTATTTTCTACTTTGACAATTTTTATTTCTTCCAAAAAAGCTTTTATGATTTTTTTCTCTTTTATTTGACACCTTATATAGATAGGTAATATTTTGCAGTGCATTCTGTTCCAAACCTAAATTTTTAATTTTTATATTTTCAAAAGGTATTTTTTTTCAAGTTGATGATTTGAGGCAGTGATTTATTGCTATTTTTTTTGTGTGTGTGTCAATATGCCCTCTATTCCCAGGGATCTTTACTATAATTATGTTGATTAGAATGGAAAATTATCCAGCAAACATCGACTTAGTTTCAAAAACCAAAGGCAGAAAACACCATCACCAACAAAAAACCTATTTTAAAAATTTTAAACTATATTTTAAAAAGTGTAAGTACTAAGAGTTATGCAGTAATAGGTTGTAGTTTGCAATTTCTGGTCAGTAGTTACTGTAATGAGGGAGATAGTCCAAAAAAAAGGGAAGATTTGTTGAAATGAGAACAATTGGTAAAACTGTGTAAGTTGTTTAATGTAAAATGCCATCAGTGATTGATAGATTAGACCAGAACTTGCTAATTTGGTATTTCAGGAAATCCATAAGCCCCTGAAATTATATTTAAAATTTTGTGTGTATTTATATTTTCTTCTTAGAAGATTCATAACTTTTTACAGATTTTTTTAAATGTTTATTTTTGAGGGAGAGAGCGTGAATAGGGGAGGAACAGAGAGAGAGGGAGACACAGAATCCGAAGCAGGTTCTAGGCTCTGAGCTGTCAGCAGAGCCTGACGTGGGACTGGAACCCACAAACTGTGAGATCATGACCTGAGCTGAAGTTGGATGCTTAACCGACTGAACCACCCAGGCACCCCTTAACAGATTCTTAAAGGGATTCTTGGCACAGACAATGGTAACAACACTGGGCTAGGATATACAGGCTTCTAAAAGGGAAGAGTGTTTTAACAAAAGTTAACATAGTGATATAAAAAAAAAAAAAGTACCTTCTTTAAACTTGGTCATTTAAGAAAATCTTTCAATGACTGATACAATAATATGAATGTTTAATAATCCTATGATTGAACCAGCTTTTCCTAAAATGGTCAATACAGTTTTAACTGCTGATTTCACTTTTCCTTTGAGAAAACTAAAACCTCAGTCTGTGAAAAAAACTATCTAAGAGCATCACTGAAAAAAGGGGACATTTTCTAGGGCAGTGATTTTTTTTTTTTTTAAATACTTGCTCTTAT